GACAGACTAGACATTCTTAGAGACCGCTTTAAAGGCTTTTGTTTTGTTTATTTGGCATTTCCACCTATTCAGAACTTAGGGCAGCTCCAGTTCTTGACTGTTTATCAGATTTCCTGACCTCCTGCTGCACATGGACCAAGAGTTTTCCAACACTTTCTTTAAAATTAAGTAATGTAAGCCTTGGGTTGCCATCCCCTTTAGCCAGGCAGGAGGAAGTACAGGCTGCACCTGGTGATACCACCACGTGTAATTCCCAGCACGTGTAATTCCCAGGGGAGCTGCTGGGGAAGGCAGATGGTGCTTTGTTTCACCAGCAGTGCTGAATAGAGCCCAAACCTGAGCCCTCCTGGAGCCTCACTGGTGGACCTTGTCCTGGGCAACATGCAGAACTGCTCTCTGTCCTGTCAGCTTTGGTGTGGGGGGAGAAACTAGGGCACAGGATTTTTCTCAGATGCCAGATAAGGCACTGAATTATTGCTGACATGAAGGTGATGTTCCTTATCTTTTCCTCCATCCATGGCTCCATGTGGTTCTCTGCATCTGAGGGGTTTTCTCCCCTCGTGACAGTGGGGAACAGTGATGCAGTGCCCTTTGAAAGAGGGGAGTCCTCTAGCTTGAAAGAGGGGAGTCCTCTAGCTTGCACCAAAAATTACTAAATCCGAGATTAAATTGGACTTCTCATGAGCCCTATGGCTGAGTTGATGGAGCTCCCTGGACATTGGGAGGTGCTGTGTTTTGGAAAAATGCCCCTGGGTACTGCAGCCCCTGATGCAGTGTGTCCCAGCTCATCCGTCTTCCTCCAGGGTCAGGGCAGCTTTGTGCGTGTCCTAAAGCAGAACAGTAAGGCATGAAAAACTCAGTGCCATCCAAGATTAGAAAATCCGTGTCCTCTGCATCACTTGCAATGTTAATTCTCGTAAATTATAGTGCTGCAGTTTGTAATTTATTTGGGAGATGGATTCAATTAAATTGAAAAAGAGCTAATTTAATAGTGAAGGTATTTTTCTTTCTATGCAAGGCAAAGGGGCATGTGGAGTTCCCTGCCTAGGAGATACATTTAAGGCTTAAAGCATACTGTGCCCCATAAAGCAATAAATAATTGCACAAATAACTGGAACAGTTAGAATTATAACAGATCTTGGAAGAAAATCTCACAAACTTTTGGAAAGGTTAAGGGCTTTAAGTCATCAGCCAGTCTTGAGAGGCTAGGAAGAAAGACTTTGTGCAGGGAGCAGGTGAAGCCAAGTTTGCATTGGGTGTTTAAGTGTGTTTCTCTGGAGGGTCTGTGCTGGCTCCTCATGTAGACCCGTTGGGTCCATCCTGATGGTTGCCCCACAGACAGCAGCGCTGGGATGTTTCATGTTTAAATGTTTGGAGTAGTTTGCTTAAGGAAAAACTGTGTTAGCTGTGTCAGGGCCAAAGATGAGCTCTGTCCCCACAGAGCTTGTGCAGGGGCACAGCCATTCCTCTTTCACCTTGCTGCTCTGAGGAAGGTCACTGGTCTTGCTAGTGGACTTGCTGTGCCAGTGCAGGTAGAATTGAATTTGGCATGCTCCAGACTTCTCAGTCTGATCCTTGCTGTTTCACTCCCAGACTACCAGGTTAAACTGTCTGTGTGGTGCTAGCACTCTGCAGAGCAAGCCAGGCTGTGCCGTGGGGAGTCAGGTGGGCTTGCAGATGGGAAAGGCAGCAGCTGAGGAGCTCTGCAAGGGCAGCAGTAAAGCAGTTTGCTTATTAAATTGTACCATCCCCTGTGTGCCGTCTCATTTTTGTGGATTGGCAGCAATTGCCAAGCTGTTTGCGGTTAAACAATGCAGACTGTCATAATCCTGCTCCTCATCTCGCCTCATTAAGAACCTGGTCACGCTGGAGCTTTGCCCGGGCGAGGACTCCGAGGGCAGTTGTTCGTCCTGGTGCAGTGCCAGGACCGTGTGTCCCTGATAGCGCCGTTTCCTTTGAAATCAATTGAGATGTCACTGTCACTTGATCCTGGAGCTACTTAATGAACTGGCAAAATGGGCTCTATTTTTAGATCTCCCTTCAAACTACTGTGCATGTTAAAGCTCCCCTTGTCCTTAACACCGGGACGGCATTGGGTAGGATTTATTGGTTTAGTTTAATACGAGACCTACAGAACTGGAATAATAAGCTTCATTTCCTTGAAAGTGAGGAAAATTAAAACGGCATGGTTAAACCTGGGCAGCCGCCTCGAGACAGTAAAAGGATACATTCATGGCCAGAAGGATAAGGTGGAGCTTTCTTCTTGTCTAAGTTATAGGAGAGCCAAATACTACAGACACATGCCTTTGGGGAGTTCTTGCAAGCTTTGTAGATCGGATTTCTAAGTGTTTTCTGAACAGGGTAGAACTCCTGGTGGTTTACTAGGCAAGCTCAACGACTTAAAAAGAATGTCTACTTCACTGCAAATGCTAGACCGTCTTTCCCTGCATGTTTATAATTAATGTCAGAAAAATACTTTTGCTAAAACAAGAAAGAAACACAGATGTAGGTAATTTAATTTTTTTTTACTTCTTATTGTAGTCTCAAGCCAAGTTAGATAAAATATAATTTCAGGAAGCTACTGAGAATGCCTTGAGGCTTTGCCTAGCATCCATGTTTACACACACATGCCCTTCTGGGGATCATATGTGGGGTTTGGGGGTTTTATTTCTGTAGGCTCACAGGCTCCAGGATTGTGCAGTGATGAGGGGAAGGAGCAGGCAGTGCACAGTTGTAATGCAAGTGCCAATTGTTTCCTGTTTTTCCTCCCATCCCACCAGATGGAAATCTGTGTAGGTGCAGAATGCATCTGTACTTTGCTTCTGTGGCACGGTCAAAATAAATGTAAGCAAAAAACCCATCATATAAGCAACAAACCAAACTCAAAGTCCATGAAACACAAGATGTACCAAACAGATCACCCTTGAGCCTGGACTAAGGGTGGAAATTGGCCCCAGCAGAGATTATTTCACCATCTCTTTGTACACTCTACAAACTAAGTAATTTAAGTCATTTTTTTTTCTGCCATCCTCTGAGCTGTAGGAAGTAGTCCATCTTTGGGCTAGGAGTTGGGTAGTCTTACCAGATGTAACTGTCCGTGTTCATGCATATGACAGAAACCAAACAGCTCCATAGCTCCAGACTTGAGCTAGGTTATGCTCAGCTCCAGAAAAATCAGGTTGGACCCTTCTGTGTCTGTTAGGATAATTGAACAGCGTACTGGCAAAACTGTCTGCTTTGGTGAGGCATCCCTGTGCTTCATATATTTCTCCACCACAGAGTTAGCATTGCCCCTCTGCACTGATTGTATTGTACACCTGTTAAAGCTCCAGCTACATGATTTTCTTTTTTTGTGCAAAAGATTTCTACATTCCTACAATGAGGGCATTCTCATTTCATAATGAAGTTTTTACTAGTATGGTAAATTTCATTGTAACTTTGTGAGATCCGTGGGGTCCCACCTCATTTTCAGATGCTTCTGCTGTCTTATGGGCATCCCAGGTGTCTGCTGTAAGGAAGAGTTTGTGATACTTTGGCTGTGGCCTAATCGCTAGTGGGTGGGGTTTTGAGTCTGATGTTTTACATCTTTTCTGGAATGAGTCCCTCATTAGGATGACCACATAATAAGTGCTGGGTTTTTTCAGACTGATGAATGAATCAGATGGATCTGATTGTACTTGCAGCTGTGAGCTGCAAAGCATTTGATGCTAGAAGTGGACTCTGAAGTAATTGCTGCAATGCCTTGAAAAATCAACAGGAACCAGCTAGAATGTCCAAACTATGTGTAAACTATGTCTAGGTGTTCATGTTGAAGGGGGGGAAATAAAAAGCAGTTTTCCAGCTTCCTGTTTTCTGCCAGTTTTATGTTTTCTACCCTTTGAACTGAAATCGTGGTATCTAGACTCCGTTCAAAAGATAAATTTTGGGTTTCTTGCCTTGGGGATAAGGACTGGGGAATGGGCGGCAGGTTCTGGGAAATACTGACATTTTTAAGCTTGACCAGTAGAAGTAGAAAGTATCTTTACAGTGAAGTGTTTGGTCATTTGGGTGGGATTTTTTTGGAAACCAACTTCCATCAATTTAAATAGTACGTTAAAGGTATAATGCTACTAGTAAAGTTTGTATTGGCAGTTTTGTCATCCTTGCCATGAACTCTGTGAATAATCACATAGAGGATGTGTAATGGTTAATGGAGTGAGAGTGTGAAAGAATTGGTTGTGTGCATGGAGGAATTTGTTGAGGATTACGGTGAAATGTGATGCTGTAGCTTGGTAAAGGAAGCAGAGAGTGGGGAAGCAGTTCATCAGCATCTTCCAAAAAGCATGGGCAGGGGAGAGCCTTTGCCCATGGGCAGCTCTGATCATCCCTGACCACATAGGAGCAGGAGGCCAGGGATATGTGACCTCATCACCTGCACCTGGGCAAACACAGACGGTAAACAGAGGACTCCTGTCCTGGTGTCTTTACTCAGAGTGGCGGGGTTGTGATTCCTCTTGTAAATTTAAATTATGCATTTCTAGGCTTTTAAGTGCTTAGCTCTGTAATCTTCTTAACTTTCTGTTAAATAAGCTTTTCATCCATTGCACTGGCATTCAGCTGCAGACAGTAACAATAAAATAACACCTTTTAAAAGTGGTTTTCTCTATAAAGATGTGATGTCTCTGGAAACTTGCAATAAAAATCTATGTTGGAATTTTGTTAAAATGCATGCAGAAGCACCTGAATGAGGTGCCATGGGTGCTGGAGGCATTCTGGGGGCATTAGTGTGTTGCCCTGCAGAGGATGCCTGGCCATGCAGAGCTGTACCTTTGCCTTACCCCTTGGCAAGATGTACAGCAGTGTCCAAAGGCATTGCTTATAGAAATGTGTACTGGCTTAATACAGTGATGTGTTTTGGAAACAAAAGATGATATGCAATGGAATTTTCTGTCCCTTAGTAAAAATGAGAGGAATTCCATCAACTACTCTAGTTTACAGGTTTTTTTTTTTCTTTTTTTTAGGTGATGGAAACTGAGAAGTCTCAAGATCCAACCTGTGCAGAAGCGTCCAAAGGAAACAACCAGAGTCCCACTCTGGGAAGTGGCATACTGAAATACAGAAGTCGATCTCAAGGTAAAGCTGGGTTGATAAAAGATAGCAGTAGTAGAATTTTTCTGTTGTGTATTCATTTTAGTTCTCTAAAGGTGAGATAGCATTTCTTTCCTTTGAAGATCATATTAGTTTATTTTGGAAGGAAAAACCCATCTGTAAGATGATTGCATTCAGCTTCCTGAGTTGAACTATTGTAGGGACCGAAATATTAAGCAAAATTTTGGAAGCTCCTTTTTTTTTTTTTTTTTTTGAACATTTGCGTTTCCTGTATGTTACAGTGTACTCTGATACTGAGGTGGAGGGACACATTTCAGCATGCCATCACCAAAATACCCATTATGGCAAATAGTCCCCACATTTTCTATTGCTTTGGTCCCAAGTCTTAACAGTAACCTGTGTGCAGAGGTTGATCGGGTTCTCATACCTGATGCTTTCTGAGGCTCCTTGCCTCCTGTGTTCACCTTAATTTCCTATTTCTCCTCTATTTTTAGTGTCCTCCAGGGAGCTCCTCTGCCAGGAGTCCCTGCAGGTCTAAGTTGGTGGCTCACTGGGGATCCAGCCCCAGTTCCCTTGGGTGCTGATGCCCTTGGGCTGTGGGTGAGCCTGGAGCATCCGCCAGCATGGGAAGGGAAGCTGCATTGAGAGATGGGCAGTAAACACAGAAATTTAACTGTTCTCCTAGAAGAAGAGAGGGAGAAGTGATGGGAAAGGGTTAGTTGCAGGTGCCAGGAGGATTTGGGAGTGAAAGAAGTGCCAGAGTGCTGGGTCCTGCAAAGATGGCTAATCATGTCTGTGTGCAGCAGCAGCAGCCTGTGTGCTGGGGGAAGACGAGTTTAAAAGCAGAGGTAATTTTACACCCCAAAGCAGGGAGCGGGTTTAAACTGCACTCTGGGCAGTGGGTGTGAATTCTGCCTGTGGATGCATCAGCAGAATTGATTTCATGCCGAGTGAAAACAAGCGGCTGCCCCAGCTCTGTGCTCCGTCCCTCCCCGGCAACAGCAGTGATGCTTGTGCAGCCTCCAGGCAAGGAGTAGGTAGCAGAAAATGTATTTGGGGCTCTCCTGGGCAAATTTGCAGTGTTTTGCCTCAGCCTATGACGTGTGAGCCCTGTTCCCAGCGCACAGACAGGGCAGTGAGGATGAAAGGAAATCAGAGCTTTTGCTTTCCTTGTCAGCTCCAACTTCACATTGGTTTAAAGTAATCTTAAAATCTTGTCGTGAAATCCAGATTCTGCAAATTTGGTGGTTTTCTTGGGTTTTCATCTGTAAAATAGGAGTTAATGGCCCTTCCCTGTGTGGTGGGGAAATGAGAAGGATAAATCTGCAGGAACTGCTGTGACTGGGAATCCTGCAGGGACCTTAGAGAAAATGAGAATTGGAGGAGCCCTGGTGTGAGGAGTGGGATACTCTGGCTAATTACAGGATGTCCTTCAAGACAAATAATTTTGTTTCTTTTGTGAACTCTACATTCTTCTCTTTAAGACAACTAGGATTGTTACTGGAAGGAAAGAAAATAGCATTTATTTGGCACATTTTTCTGTTTTCCATTCCAGTAAAAATTCCCTCAAAGTGACATGACACCTCTAGAAATGAATACTGCTACAGTGTCAGGTCTTTTAATTTTAAATAAATGAAGCTTGAGAGCTTAGTGCACTGGCTAATGCCATTGGGTATGAACAGCTGAATTTCTTTTCTGTCCCTGAGCTACCGGCTCAATTATGTTCTTCTTTTCCTTACTATCACAAGTGGCAGTGCTGAGGAGTTCAGCATCACTGAAAGATTGTAGAAAACCTGTGATAGCAGGAAAAGTTCTTGGGTGAGTGTGATCAAAACTGGTTTCTAACTGCCCAGTTGGAAATTGCATAGCATTGTTTTAAGGCACTATTTAAGCTGGGATTTGCAGGAGGTGATTATTGCCTGGTGGTGAGAGGTTAAAGCAGCTGTGAGATGTTTGCAGGATGTGTTTCTGTGGTTTATCCTAGGTGCTGGATCCCGCTTGGAGTCTGTTGGAGAAGACGATGAGCTGACAGTGGAGAATGGTGAATCGAATTATGAAATAGCGGTGAAATATTCCCGAGGTGGAAGAAAGCACTCTCTGCCCCAGCAGCTGGAGTCAGCCGGAGCCAGACAGGTGGGTGGAAAGGCGAGGCTGGCTGTGAGCACCTCACTGTGCTCGATCCTGTGACATCTGTCTGGAGCTCATAGACAGGAGTGAGGGTCATGAAACAAAACCATGTAGGTACATCACAGGAACTGAAACCAGGCCTGAGCACCTATGGAGAACTACTTTGGGGATCATGGAAACAGATACTGCTTGCTGTGGCCACAAGGTCCTAAGGCTGCTGACTTAAAAAAAAATTCTGTTTCTCTTTATTTTAATGATTTGATAATGTAGGCTCACCTCCCTTCTCCTCCTCTTTTCTTCTCCTTCCCCTTCCTCTTCCTTTTTTAATTTTCTGTTCCTTTTTCCCTTTTCCCTTTCCCAGATAAGAACTTGAGTATATCATGAGGTTACCTTTAATCTTTTTAATTGAAATTGTGACTGATAATTACAAAATTATTCTGCTGAATAATTGTGGGAAAATTACTGTGGCAAGATTCACTTTCACTGTGTTTCACTTTGAGCTGGAGTTTCATCCCTTGAACTTTTTTTTTCTGAATATATCTGTAAGATACTCCGTCTCTCTTCCCTGACACATGCAATTTTCCCGCTATGACGTCCCCAGTATCTCTGCCAAGCAATCAGAGCAACTTCCCTTGTTTGCTGATGTTTGTTAGGACTACCATATCGTGAAGAAATCTACCCGTTCCTTCAGTGCTGCCCAGGTGGAATCTCCATGGAGACTGACCCAGCCGTCCATCATTTCCAACATCGTCCTGATGAAAGGGCAAGGCAAGGTGAGGATTTCTGCATGTGGCTGGTTTGTCACGTGTAGCAAGAGCTGGCATTTGAGAGATGTCTCCCATACTCAGGACTTCCAGCTGCTCTCGAGATAGCCAGTAATAACAGTAATGCTAATAAATCCTGTGTTCAAGCATAAATGCCAAAGTTACACCTGCAAAATACAGGGGAGGCAATGTTCGTGTCATGCACTTGGCACAGGGTGACTTTCGTTCTGATACGGTGCGTCTCGTCATTACTGAGATACTGAATATTAATAATGGATCTTTAAATACATATGTTTGTGCAGAGTTGGTGCAGCTACAGAACAGTACCTGTTGACATGCATATTTATGGAGAAGCATATTTTCTTTCTTTGGAATCTGGATATATTTTAAAAAAAAAATTACTGCAAATTAAACACTAAACTCAAAGACAGGTTCCTGGTTTATTGCTTATCTGAGAGCACTGGATTCCCTGGGTAAAAAATTCCTCTTCTTTCCCCCCCATAATGTGTAGATACTAGCTGGCTGAATGCTAAGAAAAAACAGACAAACATTAAGCTAGGTGTATATTGTTTTCCCTAATCCAATCCACACTAGTATTGGAGCTGTCATATAAATATGCTAAAAATATGCATGTCTTTTCATTAAATACTCTTTAATGTCATCAGATGGATATGTTTTGGACTAAGAAGACTTGTTTTGACTTCCAAGCACAAATGCAAACCAAATCGTTTTGCTTTTCCTTGTTGTGCTCTATGTTTAGCAAAGAGAAATAGTGATTTCTCTAGGTGGACTGACTCGCAGTTGTTTTAACTTTCCTTGGTTTAGGAACTTCAACTGTTTTATAACATTTCCAAGCAAATATTTCTTCATTTTTCATATACCTATTTTTTGACCCTGTTTTTCTCATAAAATTAGATTATTACTTCCTATGGGATGAGTCACCCTCTCCTATCTTTCTGCAGTTAGCTCCAAGGTTTTGGGAAGTAGCTGGAAGCTTGCAGACTCTAGTGGTCATGAACCATGTAAAGCAGCTGCCGTTGTGGGTGCCTCCCACCCACCTTTTGGGTGATCACCTCTGTTAGGGATTGCCCTGTGTACAGTTTATGCAGTAGCATTTGATTTGTTATCTCTGTGCAGATATGGGACTTGAAAAGTTTTTCCACAGAGATACGGTGTCGGTGGCTGGGAGCCAAATGTTTGCCTCCAGTTTTTCATCTGTAGGTAGATCTGCAAGGGGTGGTTCTCTGCTGTGCAGTGGCAGCACTTCTCTGGGACAGTGGGCTAATATAGGAGCCACTGTACTTTGCAGACATATTTCTCCCAACCCATCCCACAGAGCTGTGGGGAAAACTGCTCTGTCCAGGCAGGGGAGTGACAGAAGCCTCCTGCTTTCTGTAGGTCAGTTTGCAGTTGATAATTGCACAGGGAGCAGTCAGTTATTTTTGCTGCACAGCTAAGATGCTTCCTTTCTAGAAATAAGTAACATGTTATCAAATTACTAACTTACAAACTGTTGTGCTCTGCTTTATATTCATGGAATAAAACAAAAGAGCTGGTTGTTGTAGTGGGTTGTCGACACAGTGCTTGCCCTGGCAGCATCCCTCAGCTGGAGAGCACTGCCCAAGGCACTAATAATGTCCTGTGGCTTCAGATTACTAAAGCACAGCAGTTTTCCACTTCCCTTGTCCACCCGGTCAGTGACTTTTTTCTTTATTCTGTAAAATGCATGTGCAGCAGGGACAAGAGTGGAAATATGGGGAAGGGGAGTAAATCAAGGAAGTGATTTGTCTGGGAAATAATTCAGCTGAAGGGGAGGAGGTTCATTCTGCTGTGCTCATCCATTCCCTGATCAGCTTTGAAGATGGTCCCACACCAACAGGGGCAATGCAGGGGTAAGATCTAACGGATGGAGCCCTGGGGAATCTATTGATCTAGATTTATTTAAATACAATGTGATACATGTCTCCAGAATAATTACAAATGTACATGTGAATGGCAGCCCCCACTTGCCATTCCCCTTTCAGCTACATTCCTGACATTGCAGCACTGACCTTATGTCATGTTCTTAAACTTTTCTTCTTCCTGAGGAAATGTAAGATCTGTGACATAAGAGAAACCTACAGTTAATCCTGGATATAGATCTCAGGGGTGCGAATCTACTGTCTGTCAGTTTAAAAGCAATGTGTTACTGTTTATAAAATGAGAATGGAATTACATAAAGCCATCGACCTGGTGTTTTTAAAAAACCCAGAGTAATCTCCAAGTAAAATTTGTGCAGTTTCAGCTTAGGGTGAAATGCAGGCTTGAGGTGCCTGGTGCTACGTTTTGGGCTGATAAGTATATTGATATTAGAGTGAAAGAAGTTAGGAAATGCAAGGAGAGAGTCAGATGGCAGCGCAATTCATCAGAAGATTTTGGGTTTTCATCTTTCATTTGTCTCGTATGTTACCAGCAGTCTTTCCTGCACAGGTGATAATGGAGTAATGCGCCAGCTGTGTGTCTTCTCCTGCCTTTTCTGTAGGGTCTTGGATTCAGCATTGTGGGAGGTCAGGATTCTGCTCGCGGACGCATGGGAATTTTTGTGAAGACTATATTCCCAAATGGAGCAGCGGCAGCTGATGGAAGGCTTAAAGAAGGTATGGCAGAGAGAATCCACCTGCACAGCAAGGACCACAGTGGGATATTGTTTCCATCCAACAGGGAAATATAAGTACGGCTTTATTTAGGCACCTGGCCATCAACAAGAGGCTGTGAAGGATATTACACACACCCCCTGCTCATTCATCCTGTGGAAGATCATTCATAGCAATTAACATGATTATATTGCATATTGAGAAGGGGAAAATACAGCATAGTGGTGGTTGGTTTTTTTCCCTTCCTCTTTCATGAACTTTATTTGCCCAAACCATAAGCTGCAATTTTTCCGTTGGAAAGGGTGATTGACAGGGAAACATATATAGATAGCTAACCAACATCTGGCTTAAAGATGCTTGTCTGAGAAGGGATCATATTGAGACACATGTTTGGGAGAGGCTCTTTTGGGCCCTTGAGCTCTCTGGGCCTCTTGGTATAATTTTGACAAGAGTCAACAAGTAAGAGTCCTAACCAGAGAAAGAGAAGAGATAGGATTGGTAGTAAGATCACTCAGCAGGTTAGAGAAGCAGATATATCCTGATTTTATTAGTGCTTTTCCAGTCTTGTTCTTTGAGCTGGGTGCGTAGCCTGCTCTGTATGTGTTATACCCTGGTCCGAGTACTGTGACAGACAGACTCTTACACACTGTTGAAAATACAAAGTGATCATGAGTTCAGAGCAGTGATTTACAACTCTCCTGCAGGGCTTGTGTTACTTTGCTTCTCTCTATATGCTCCTGTGTTGCTTCTCATATCATCGTTTCTCTCTTTACATCTTATCACTCTTGTTGTATTTGAGGCTGCTTTTGGTGCCAACACTCACACTTGCTGCCAGAGGGAAGCTCACATTGCTGCATCATAGGTTGTGCACTTGCCGTGGGAAGGCAGTAGGTAGCAGCTGTCCCATAAACCCAGCAAGCCTTTGCAGGCTATTCATAGCTTTCATACTCTCTTTTCTTTTTTTTTTTTTTTCTGAGGCTAGGGAAGGAGAGGAAGGGTAGACTTACCTGATGATGCTGCCCCATCTAATTTTGCACAGATGCAAGTAAAATTGCAGAAAGTGGGTCTGGATCATGCTGACCCTTCTTTTAATAAAATGAAGGTAGATCAGCACAGGTGAGTTTAAGTAGTGAGACCCAAAGCCTAGTAGCTGGTAGAGGTCTGACAGGACATGTTCCTTGGGGTGAGAAAGACGTTTGCTATCACAGTGGGTGCACTACATGCTTCTCAGTTTGCAGGCATTTAGTAAGAGAACACATTTGCTTTCTGCACATGGATGCAATGCTAGTTTTTGCTGACCAGGCTTTGAAGTGATGTGCCGTAGTGTTTCACTTAATTTCTCATTTCTTCTGTTGTTACTTACAAAAGAAAGTCAGTTTTATAGTCCCATTGGACTTCATGTCATAATAATCTATTTTCAGACTTTGCTTAAAATCCATAGTGTTTTCAGCTTGTTTGTTAGTATGAGAGTACCAGTTTAAGGATCTCTGCTAAAGAACAGTCTTTACTCTGCTAATTCATAACTATTAACTTGTAGAGGCATTAGTACAAGTGCAAATAAACTGAGAAGAGTAAAAGGCTTTTTATGGAGCCGTTAGTTGGAATCCTCATTGTAGTGGATCACTTAATGTACAGGAAAGATGGTTTAAATCTTTATAGTCTTACATTGATGACTTCATTTTTTGTATCTAATTACCAGGGGATGAAATCCTGGAAGTTAATGGAGAGTCTCTGCAAGGACTGACCCATCAGGAGGCCATTCAGAGGTTTAAGGTAACATGGATGTAGTGCAGGAGAGATCCACGCTCCTCTTCATTCATTGCCATCTCATGCCCTCAGTTTTATATTATTTTACTGCCACAACTTACTGTAGGCAGGTTTACTGGCAAATGTTGGTGTATCGTGTCACTTTACTGAGGTTCTCTGCTGTCTCTGCAGCAACTCAAGAAAGGTGTGGTGACCCTGACGGTGCGCACGCGGCTGCGCAGCCCGAGCCTCACGCCCTGCGTGACTCCCACCTTGCTGAGCCGCTCCAGCTCCCCCAGCTCCAGTGCCAGCGGGGGCATCCCAGTCCCCGGCCTCGATGAGGCTGATGGTTCCTCCTCCAGCCGCAAAGGACCTGGCCCAAAGGACAGGATCGTCATGGACGTGACACTCAATAAAGGTCAGGGTCCATTGAAACAGTCTTAGAGAACAAATCCCTACTTCTTAGGGAAGTTTTTGGGAGTAGGCTGGAGACTCTTATATCCAGGGCACCTGCCTGTGTTCGTCTGATCTTGAGCCACAGGATGGGGGAGAAAAATATCCTCTAATGCTAAAACTTCTGAAGAGTTCCACTTTCCCTGTTTTGCTGCTCCAGAGCCAGCAGGCTCTTACAGGTAGCAGTCAGTGTCCATGCCGCTGAAATAGGGAGGCTGGGAGATACCAGACAAAATTTGAATCAGCCTCTTGGACGGCCATCATCCCAAGTGGGCTGTACCCTTCTGGTAAAGGGCAGCTCCATGGAAGGCAAGGCTGCACAGAATGTTGAAAAGTTCCCAGATGACCTGTTTGAACTCCTCATTGAGTGTTGCTTTCATTTCAGTAATTGCTCATGATAAACTTAAAGCACGTGCTATATGTGTTGGAACAAACAGACCTTTTTTTAAGACTTAAAATTCGGTGATTTTAAGGGTTGGATTCAAAATTTGGAGCGAGAATGCAAGATGTCCAGCAATTCCTACTTTGGGGATGTTGTTACCTGAAAGAAAGCAAAGGTGAAAGTGAATAGAGGTGATCACTGAACCAGAGATAGTGTCTCACTTTCCTTTGTGCCTCTTTGCTGAGGAATACCATGCAGATATTTAACAAAAGAGAGCAATACAGTATCATCTGTGCTCGTGTTTTCTGCAATAATTTTAAGTGACATCTTTATTGGATTGCTGCCCCTACTCCTTTGTGCCTTGGACCAGATCAGACTGTGTGCGACATTTCCAGGAGGTTCCCACGGCACACAGATTTTTTTCTGAGAGAGATGGATCTTAGAAAACAGTCAGGATCAGCTATTTTCAATCCTGATTTCCACTTGTTGGTCTTGGCTTCCTGACTGACTGCACCTAAGGCCAGCCCTGAAACAATACATGAGTCCTGATCTCAGATGGGATGTGGGAACACAAACATTTGTGTCCTGTGTGATTACAATCTGCCACATTTCTTTGTACTTCTTTTTCACAGAGCCAGGGGTTGGGCTTGGCATTGGTGCCTGTTGCCTCACACTGGAAAACAGTTCTCCTGGAATATACATTCACAGCCTGGCCCCAGGATCAGTGGCTAAAATGGATGGCAGATTAAGGTTAGTTGAAGCAGAAACATGCTAGAGTGATTTTACAATAAAATCAGTTGAGACTTTGTTTTCACCAATTGGTTGATGTAGCAGGGAAGAAATTTATTCTTAAGAGTTTACCAAAAAGAAAACATTTTAATAAAGACATTCCAGAATGATATTAAATACCCAGGAAACATTATTCTGTGTGCTGGAAGCAGTTTGATCATTAAGGTTTGGGTTTGCTTTTTTTTTTTTTTTTTTTTTTTTTTAAATTCTCTGTACAGAAAGCTGAACCTAATAGCACCCTTTGAGAAAGGGAGCAACAAGAAGTGCAGCCTCATGTCTTTTTCTGAGAGTTGCAGCCAGAGACCCCAGACTGGGAGGAAATTTGCAGAGCTTTGCTAAAAGCTCAGTCACCTGAAACTCTCTTAAAAGGAGCTGAGGGAGAGGTTCTTGCAGCTGCCTGTGCCCGTGGCTGCAGCAGCACTTTTCTGCCCTTACTGTCAGTCTGGCAGGATTGCTGCAGGCTGACCTGCCTCACTCATTTACTCTGTCCTGGAGTTTGGATGTCTTTAAGGCACTATAAGAGAGAAGCGATTATTCCTAGGGTTCCTTTGTGCTTTACATTGGATTAAGTGATGGAGCCTCATTTGCTGTTCCTCTCCTGAAGGCTTTGTTTTTGAAAACCATTGGATGAAACCTTCCACTTTTCTGTGGCTAGAGAGTCTTTTCTGTTTCCTTGTTCATCAGGAAAACTGCAATAGAGCAATTCAATTTCTTGGAGAAATGGAAGAAGATAATTTTATGGTGGCATTGCTGCCAAAACTCTTGAAAGTTTCTACTGTATAGAAATGTCTGTAGGAGACAGTATTTAATGGTAACTTGCTTACTTGTAAGCCCCTTTGGAAAAGATTGCAGTGCTGGTTACATCTGTATGTAACAGCTCTATTGTTTATTAGGTTTATGTGATTGATTATATCCAGGCGTGCTTCCCAGATTTCTGGCTTGCTTCTCTGAGACGTTGCTTCTGTTGTCCCACCAACGATTTATGGCTCCGTAAGCCAAAACTTATAGGATGGTTTTGATTTTTGGAAAACTCTGTTAATCAAATACTGGCTTTGCAATGCCAGGAGAGGTTTGAATCCAGCTCCTCTGTATCTGAGCTCCCCCTCTCAGGCATGTGGCTGTGTAAGTGACTCCACTTGTGTACTTTCTAATAGCTGTGTAAGTCTAAAGGATGGGCAGAGCAGCAGCGTGATTGCACAACTGATAGGCCACCCTTTGCCTACCAGAAGGGCAGGTTACCAAGGGCTGCCATGTGCAATTGCCATTTTGCCTTTAGTGTGTGTATTCACAGTGCAAACACAATTTCATTGTCACATGTAGCCCATCGTAAATCAACAGTAGGTAGGTTATTTGAGACTGCCTGTTCAAAGCAAATGCTTTAGCAATTGTGGAGATTGCTTTAATGATATCCCTAGTTGACGATATTTTCTTTTGAATAGCTCCAGATGTCTGAGCACCATGAGCAAAAGTTAAGAAACTGGGAACACAAAACTGGTTTGGGTTGGAAGTGATCTTAAAGATCATCTTGTTTCAAAACCCCTGCCAAGGGCAGGGAATCTTCTGCTAGACCAGGTTACTCAAAGCTCCCTCCAACCTGATCTTGAGCACTTGCAGGGATGGGGCATCCACAACTTCTCTGGCCAACCTGTTCCAATGCGTCACCACCCTCACAATAAAGAATTTCTTCCTAATGTCTCATCTAACCTCGCTACTTTCAGTTTGAAGCCATTCCCCCTTGTCCTATCACTACTTGTCCTTGTAAAATCACATGGTGTGCTTTCCTTCAGGAGATTTTTGTGCCTTTTTTTTTCTTTTCAATGGGTTCTATATGTTAATTTTTAGTAAATACAGGCTTATCAAGCTCAGTTTTTTCCTGGAGTAGTTTAAAAAACTACTAAATATCTAAATCATGAATTTCTTACCAGTGTTTATGTTAAATAATTCAGTATGATACAAAGGAACAGCCCATCTGAATCTCATATTTCCTCTTCTGTGTTCAACAAGGATCTGAATCCAGAAGTGGAACTGAAGTTTCACCTTGGTCCAAATGCAGCCAGTTTTCTCAGTTGATGTAATAAGATTTTTTAGCACTAATGGTAAGTGCAGGAAGGAGCCTTCCTCATGAAGTCAGCAGGACTTAAAGCATTCACATCACTGGGAGCAAAAGCCAGACCAGCTTCTTCACGAGTCACACCTTTTCCAGACACTTATATCTTTGAGAAAGCTTGGCCATTGGTTGAAAGTACAAATTTTTGTGTAAAAGTAGTTGTGGTTAACTGGCTCTGTGTCTCTCTGCAGTCGGGGTGATCAGATCCTGGAGGCAGATTCTGTGAGTCTGCGTCATGCAGCGTTGAGCGAAGCCTACGCGATACTGAGTGAGTGTGGACCAGGTCCGGTCAGCCTAATCATTAGTCGTCATCCTAATCCAAAGGTGAGGGGAAAAGGAGTTAATGTATCTGGGTTGCTTTCATTTCAGGCAGTAATTTGAGTCGCACTGTCAGGAAAGCAGCAAATGAGGAAAATTGGATTTTTCTCTCTAAGACGTGTATTGTGCAAGATGTCAGTATTTTAATGATACTTCCCAGTTTTGTAGGTTGTAGCAATGCTGGACTGTTCCTGCTGCTTTTTACTTAGTCACCCACTGATCAAATGCAATTTTCCTGGAACTGCTTGAGTGAAGTGTTCCCATCTTTCTCAGTACTTGGATCAAGCAGCAATGCAAATACGGCAGAAGACCTCTTCCTCCTAAAAGTTAGTTTGCAGTTAGTTTGTCTTAGAGTAGTATATCATTTAGGGCCAGGGAAACAAATATCAACAGATTGAATTGATCAACTATAATGAAGTAAAATCTGTCCAAAGATCAAAGCTTTCCTTCAGGAATTAAAACGTGAGAATTTGGAGTGTACTGCTACTGTGAAATCCGTGCAAGGTCAATTTGGAAATAAGACTGTGTTTACAAAATAAGTGTTTTCAAGCATTTTTTAAAAATTGATGATAGAAGATGAAAGCCTTTTAGCCAAGCTATAGGGAATAACGAATTCTTTTATTTCAGTATTTCAAAGAATTTCATGAGTGTATGAAACAGGAATGAGTGTTTAAACAGGAATGAAGCTGTAAAAATATTTGCATTAGTGGGTCCAGAGAGCTCTGACTTCTGAACTCATAAAGTGCAAATGGAGGCCTTAATAAAGCCATATCTAGGAGAACTCAGGTTTCTTATTTTATAATTAGTTGTGTATTTTCTGCTAAATCATAAATACGAACAATCAACAAATAGGGGTCTATTGCCCAGAGTTTATTAGCATTGCTGCAAGGCCTTGTGCTGCTCAAAAGAAAGAGGTTCTGCTTCTGTTAGTGAAAGGTAAGCATGGAGTGGGTAAGAATTGGGCTTATAGCCCACGATAACAGTATTTCTAGGAGTCTGTGTGCTGTGCTAAACCAAACACGATGGTTAAATGTCATAGCATTATTCAGGCATATAGACTTTGTGGAGAGTCTCTAAGTAGCATGAAATAAAAACTCTGTGGAGTATGGCCTGCCCTTTCTCCTCCATCCTTCATCTTGCTGTGGTGGGGTCTTGAAAGCTGATGAGGGACCTAATCTGGTATCTGCTGAAAGGATGAACTGAGTTAGGCTAATTGTTTGCTATTACTCAGTAACAGAGGGAAACTATTAAATGGCTCCTATTACAGTTTTCCATAAGTGATATTTAAGATGACAACAAATCCTTTGCCAAGAAATGCTAGGAAAAGTTGAGCTGGAGAGACCCTAGAGCATTTTCTCCTCCATGCAATATTGAATCCATCATCCCTCATAGCTGGATCTCTGGAGTAGTGTCCATATGGGGACCCATATTTATTTTTTTGTTACTATCACCCATTTTCTGAAAGCACGGGGTGATCTATAGATATGTTGAGTATTTTATTAAATTTTATTTTATTTTAATAACTCTCAATAATACCCCAGCCTGCAGATTAGAGTTAGAAATTAGCTTGTTCCTTTCCAGTTTGAACAGCCTGAGATACAGGATGCTAAAAATCGTAACTGGCAGAGCTTGCAGAAGCATGGATTTTTGGTTAACTTTAAATAAATATTGCAGTGTGCCCAGGACCTGGTTTTACTCCTGGGACATGTTGTACCAAAAGGTTTGTGTCAAGGCCCTGAATCATAGTCTCAGGACTCAGTCCATGTCCTGTAGGAACTTCCTTTGCCCCAGGAGCCCAGGGTTTCTTGGTTTGCTATAAGGTCATACTACGGGTTGGAAACAGAGATGTGTTTTTACAAATGTTCATGTTGTTTCGGACATTTTTATACTTAATGTCTTATTTTATAACACAAAAGGTCCACAGTACATTTTGTTGCTGAATATGTTCACTGCAGTGTTTTCATGTACTTCCAAGAGAAATACCACAAAATTTTCTTTCTTCTTGTTATTCTGAGTGAATATGGCATTTACACTATGTTTAAACTGCTGAGTTTGCTTCAGAATCTTTCAAATCTTCATGGTTCAGGAAGATTCAAGTTTCTAGTCTCTATTTATGCTGAATTTTAATTCATGTAAAACAATGTGCATAGAAATTATTTTTGACAGAATTAATTTGCTTTCTGTTCTTAAATATATATTCCTGCAGAATAGTTGTTCCTGTTATAAAATTATATGTTTTCCGGTAATAAGAATTAAGTGTATGCCAGTAATTAAGGTCTAGATTAGCAAATATGGTAAACCAGTATTTATTCTTAAACCAGAGAAACATTATTTACCAATTACCGACTTGGGGTTTTTTTTAAAAGCAAGGAGAAATTAAAATTAAAAAGAAAGCTAGTATTATGGGAAGTCTGGTATTCTTCCTGTAAGTTAAATGTAAAATAGCTTAAGTTTCTGATGTATGCTTGTGCAAAGGCAGTCTTTGTCTATTTAAAGTAATATTTTCTTAATAAATCAGTGTAGAGCACTTAATTGAGTTAAAATTGTGCTGTAATGACTTCATTTGATTTCTTTAAGTCTGGTGCTGTTTTATTTGTTTGTATAGTGTGGCACTTGGATGCAGTCTTCATGTAGCTGGCAGGCTTCTGCCTCCTGGTTTCTGGAGGAGAGTGGCGTGGAGGGGAGTCTGAGTCAGAGGATGAGGGCTTAGGAGCTCTCAACTTGGGCTTCCTCATTGCATCTTTAAAAGCGGTGGCATATATCAAATGAGTCATGTACTAAGTCGTAAGACTTTCATCATTTCACATACCCAGTTTGAACTCTATCTTCCACTTAACTTCAGGTTTCAGAGCAGGAGATGGATGAAGCAATTGCACGTACTACCCACCGAGAGAGCAAGGATGCCAGCTCCTCTCATGTCACAGGTAACAACATGTTCTCTTCTAGAAAGTGTCCTTTTCCAGATGCGTGAATGTTTAAGGGCCTGCTCTGAAGTTCCCCCAGCGTCAATATTTTGAGAGCCCTCAAAACAGCAGAACAGTGTAGGGAGTGTCATCACTGCAGAAATTGTAGCTCAAACATCCAGTTCAGATGGATTGACTCTGTGGCACGTTACTGCCTTTGTTTCACTAGGCTGCCAGGATCTGAAAGTAGGGTTGCCAAGAAGTGGTTGTTCTGTCCTTTTTGAAAGTGAATAGGAAGCACAACATCGCAGTAGGGAAAGGACAGGAGGAGTCTACTCCATCTGTGTACGCTTGCCCATATCAATGGCAAAGAACACCCCCCAAAGTATTGTGACCATTTGAAAAAGTCCAGGTGTTGCATACTGGACTATATGTTTTAATTCCATTTTAATATTTAAAGTCATGTCCATATGTGTGCTCTGGCATCTCTGTGGTGTGTTTTGACAGATCAAAGCAAACTCTTAGCAATGGCAGAGTGGCCAGTAAGGTGATATTCAGACAGAAATGTTAGATTCGTAATTATCCCCCTTTATATGTGTGTCAGCTAAGACTTTTTTTGAAGTTGACCTTGGCAGTGGCCACTAATTTGGCTTTTGAGGTTGCCCCTAGACAGCAGATGCTCCAACAGGTGAGGAAGACCATCTCCTGCTCATCTCTTTTTTCATAGCACTGTGCTGGGCCTGGCTGGTATAACATGTCTGTGATAACATTCCATCTGATCTGAGGGAGACCATGTGAAAGCTTTAATAAATCTCACCTTAGGAAAGCAATTCACATAATAAGTAAGTGGGATTAAAAACAGCCACCAGCTCAGAAGGTGAATGAGAAGCTTTTTTGAGTATATGGACCACAACTTTAATTTTTGGCATCTAACTCATCTATGTTTAACAGGAGCTGTACAAAAGAGTCCGTCTCCTAGTGTAAAGGCCAAGCAAGGAGAGACGTCATCTCCCCTCAGCTGGACTATGAAACGCTTCCTGGAGCCAGCAAGCCGGGTAAAATGATTAAGTGCAATAAAAACAGTGTCTGTCTCAAATTCAGCTTTTACTGAAGCTCTTACTTGATCAGGGAGTTCAAACCCAAACCTGTAGGCTACCTTCCTTGTCACATAAGAGTGTTTCTTGCATGACACATTCAAACTGGGACAGCAGCAAGCTCCTGTCTGTCTGTGTGACTGTAGCCTTTGGGGGTGATGTGCAGAGCACGGCAGATGAGGCTGTGGGCTCCCACCTCCTGCCACCCTAAAGGCACCCCTGCTCTGTGGGACACAGAGGTGAAGTTAGCAGGAGAGACCTGATCCTGTGGGCAGAAGGCTGAGCACTTAGCCATTGCAGTGGAAAAGTCCGTTTTTTATGAGAAAGCCGAGGAAGCCACAGACACTGTTTCCAGAGGTACAAACCCTTCACTTCTTTCAGTGTAGAAGGTGCTTAAGGGGAACTACAGAAGTGAATGGTTTCATCCCTTGTTTCTGCGTTGAACCACACCTGCAAAGTGGTGGGATTTGGAATCCCTTTCTACTTATTGTACTGTCTAAAAGTGGTGTGCAGCATTTCCACCATCCGACGTTGACAGTTTGGCTCTTGATACACTGACAGGTCCTCTGTTTTAAAAATTGGCTTTAAACTGCTCTAACTGACACAGCAGTGATGTGGAGTTTGTGGTGCTCACGTGCAGGCAGGGGCTTTAGGCATCGATGATGGCTGGTTACCAGGCTCCCTTCTTTCCAGCAGGGATCTGTCAGCTCTGAGGCAGAGCTCTCCCAGTACTTCTCGCATGACAGCACGAGCCATCTCCCGTTTCCTGATGCAGTAACTGGCCCCTGCGATGAAGAACAGCTCCGTCACAAGAACAGAAACAGTTTGTTGGATGATGGCAACCTAAGTAAGTGCTGGAAACATCTGATCATTTGACTAATGAGGGGAGAGTCACTGAGCACTGGGTGCTTTACAGGATAGCAGTGGTGTTCCCTGTGCTGGTATGAACTGCTGGACAGTGTAGTGCAAGCCAGTGGCTGATCATAGGAAATTCTGGGAAATTGAAGGGCTTTACAACAATACACATAAGTGTGCGTTTCCATGGCATTTTGTTCAAATTGCTGCTCTGATTATGTGAAAATGACTTTATTTTATTGGTTTGGCTGAAACTAGATTGACAGCACTGCAGATTTGGTATTTTTTCCAAGTGGCTGATGATCGTCTGATTTATTACGTTTAAATTAACACGTTTATAGCTTTCTCAAAAACACAATTTTGAAATGTCACATAGCAGTGTAAAACAAATGTGCAGTTTGACATCAGATATTTTGCATATGTGTCTTTCTCCCCGTAGTAACTGACTTAAAGATTCTTATGTGTCCTTATTGACATGCGCCTGATCTAAGCTTCAAAGGAAATTGCATTTGTTCTCCCTTTAATGTGGTTCTCAGGTAATTTCTTTGTCTAGAGTTTATTTTTGTCTGGAAACTATTTAATGTTTAAAAGCATTTTTACATTCCTAGTAGTTACCAAACAAAGCAAAACAAAATAACTTTCTACAAAATAAGATGCAGTTCTTTCTACAAAGTATGTGGAAAGGATTCTTGGGTTTGTTAGAACTTAGTTTGAAACTGATTGTTGTGTGCTTCAGTCTTTGTTCAGAAGAGCAATTTTCACCCTCTGTTTAATGCAGGCAGTCCTGAGCTTAGATTTAAGCAAAATATAAAAGCAAATCTGTTGTTTAAATTAAAATACACATTTGAATTTGCATCCCTTTCTTGTTTGAGTCACAGTCATAATTTAGAAATAAACTGAAAATAGAACCAAATGTGCCATGAACTGATTTCAGGAGTTACCTGTAAATGGTAGTGCTATCTACAGCCCCTCCTGTACTTAGCAGGACATGAAAAACATGCTTTTTGCTTTGTGAAGAGAAGTTAAGCTTCCTCTGAAAACAGAACCGCATGTATTCTGCTGAGGTCAGAGGCATGGTATTAAGAATCATCCATAAGTACAATTAAAGTATAACTTCTCTTTTCCCTAGCTGCTAGAGATGGGGGAGTGGCAAAAGCAAATGGCCTGGCTCCTACAGCTGCTGGAAGACTGTCTGGCCATCACAACAAGCCTGTGGAGTCTGTCCGACCCGGCATCCTCAGTGACAGCCCCAAATCTGCCCGCAGCCCCTTTCACCGACAGAGGAGGGTTGTCTTCTATGATGGGGATGGCAGCGATGACGATGAGAGTTCCCACTTGCACAGAAGCCAGAGGGCCAAGAGCCAGGAGGATGCTGGCATTGTCATTACAACCTCATCTGTAGAAATTGATGAGGAGAGCCAGGACAGTGAGTCATCTAGATACAGTGGCATGGAGACATCTTCCCCTGCCTTCAGCAACTCTGTGGAGTCTGCAGACAGCACACTGGAGCAAATTGAATCTCCTTTCTTCCCCATCATAGCATTTGATTACTCGAGTGTGCCTGAAGTTCGTCTTGGCAGCCTGAGTTTGAGGGAGCTCCGAGAAGCACAACTTGAATCCAAGAGGTCACCAAAACTTGAGCACAGAGCAGTCACAAGAGTGAAAAGCATGATGAGCACAGAATGCCGAAACCTTCAGAGACACAGGACAGAGGAGCCTAGCACATACAACAAGCCTGTTGCGAGGATGCTCCCTCACAGCAAGAAGTGTGAAGCACCCGATGGGGCTGGGCAGGGCCAGATTGAAGTTGTCACTCTGGTTCGCAATGAGCATGAGTCGTTTGGCCTGGATTTGGAAATCCAAGCCATGCCTTTAAAGGTGGTTGTCACAGGGATGCGGCCAGGTGGAGCAGCAGAAATGGTAATTTTTAAATTTCAGTTACCTTGTTATGATTTGCTTTCCCATTGAAGGGATGATGATGATGATGATGATTGTTATTATTAAGCAAGTGATCTGTTGAGAGTAAGTGCAACTGAGGTTTTTGTCTTTGCTGGGCAAAGTGTCTCACCCCATATTGTTCCGAAGCTGGTGCTAAATGAAATGTTTCTGATTCAGAAGTGCATCGAGGATTATCAAAACTAGGAGAGGTGGGATGCAGATCCAACGAGATGGACTCATCCCCACTTGCAGTTGCAGTTTTGAGGGAATGCAGTTTTTGTATTTGTTCAACCAGGGGCAAAGAGAAAATAAGTATATCCTGGTGATAAAAGCATTTATTATGCTCTGTTATCTTATATGCACATTATCCTGTATTACACAGGTCTGGAACTAAGAAGCCTTAGGTGCTGGCCAGGTTTACCAAGAGCCACAGTAATACTAGTAATACATTGCTCTTCTGCATCTCACACATATCCATATAGGTACTTTCTTCATGCTGGATGTGGAATTGCTGACCTAGGTGCAGAAGCAGAGAAAGAAGAAGGAGAAAAGTCTGGTGTACAAACATGGATGTAGCATTTTTAATCTTGTTAGTGGCCACTAGAGTAAGAGGGGATATAGCATAGTTAGAATGGGGCTGTGAGATCTGGAGATTTGGGTTTTGTTCCTTCCTTTTTCTCTGACTTACTGTGCAGTGTTTAGAAACATACTCAGACTTTTTCCTCAAGATTTCAGTCCCTGTCTAGTTTAGTTGTTTAGGAGACTTCCACCAAGAATATAGTTCATACATGGCATTCAAAAATGATACACAGTGTTCCAGTCCTGAAGAAGGCGGGGTTGATTCATCCCAATTAATGTAACTGAAGAGGGCTATGTCCTCCATCCTGATACTGATCTTTCAGAGAAACCAGCAGCTGTTTTGACCTTCCTGTTTTAGATTGATCTTTAATTCTCCTTCTGGCAGAAGTACAGTCTGCTCTTTATTTATGTGTTGGCAAACTGACAGCAGTGGTACCTGTGCTCTGCAGTGATGTGAAATAGGGGATGTTACTCACAGGCTGTTAATTGCTTCCCTGAAATCTTTACCCCTGTGGCAGGGCTTCTGGTGTGTATTTACAATTTCCTTGAATCTCTCATTGCATTAGGGATCAATGGGCAAGATGGCTGTAGGAGATGAGATTACCACCATCAACAGTATCCCCGTCAGTAAGATGACATACGAGGAAATCTGCTTGCTTATGCAGTGTCTTCCCACATCCGTAACCCTGGAGATCCAGAAAGCAGCATCAGGTGAGAAAGTAGTTTCGCTTCTGTACCATTTATTCTGGGTAGCGGTGATGAAAATGCCCTTAGATCAACTGGGTCTGACCTTCTGGTGCCACAGCTTTCTGCATAGATTCAGAGAAGAAGATGGGGGACATGTTTGTGTCTGCACTGGTGAGCCAGGCAAAGCATTTCATCACCAAACCAGGCTTCAGTGGGCCTCCTTAGCACAATGATGAGGGGAGCGAACCTACTCCTGTGCAAAGCATTCAAAGCTCCCACATAGAGTATGTCCTTCCTGCCAGCATATGCAGAGGTGTGAGTTGTTTCATGCAGACTGGGAACTAAAACAGCAGTGACCCTTGTCCTGACAACCTGTTTTGTTGCTGTGCCTGTTCATTAAATATATTGACCCTTTATAATCAAATCTGTCTCTCTCTCTTAAATCTGAAGTTTAAGTAACATTTTTATGAATGAATAATAAGATACTAAAAGCCTCTTTTCTTTAATTCTTTCTTCCTTTCCCTTTCCTGTGTCAGAATTCTCTGAAGTACAGGAAGATGAAACAGAAAACCCAAGAAAACTAAATTCTTCTAAAAATGTTTATTTGCATGTTTCTTTATAAAAAGGATTCTAGTGTGAATTGAAGTATCTGATACCTCCTTACTTTCTGCTCAGGGCTGATTTATGCTGCTACAGCAATATATGAATCCCCACAGACTGTACAAATTATGTGGTGTGGAAATGAGTGTTTGAAAAAGAAAAGCATACTTTTCAAATTCAGGAAGAATATAATATTTTGCTTTGCGCTAGCTTATGATCTTCTTTGTGTACCTATTAATACCTGGGAAACTAAAGTGCTTCCAGATGCATGACTTCCAGTCGTTTTTTGAGGAATTCCAGGCTATGCAGAGTCTTGTTCTTGTTTTTTTTAGATTGCTGTGGCTTTTGCAAACCAATAACATTGGGGTAAGGATGCACTGGCACTCCTTTATGATGCATCTCTTCTGTTTTACCCTTCCCCTTGCCATAGCCTACTGGCAGAAAAGAAAGTCTCTTCAGTGTGTAATACAGCATGCTGAAGCAGGGCAGTACTTGAAATCCTGAGGTGTCTTTCACTTTGTTGACTCCAGGAAGAATCAGCACTTCTTAATGTGGATGCTAAATACAGTGATATGGATAATCCTGCAGGTTTGTGCAAAAAGTACAGAGATGTGCAGGCACATTTGAATGCGCAGGAAAGGATACTGACACTGTGAATAACCTCTCCTTCTTCATGCAGTTTCTGGGCCTTGTGTTGTAGTAACTGGCCTCTAGAAGGCAGCTTAAATGGGGATGCTTGTCTCAGAGCAACGTAGAGAGGTGGAATCGGGTGCTTAACTTGAAGTGCTGAAAATTGAAGATAGGAGAAATGAGTGAGCAGGAATGTGTCAAAGTGCAGCAGTGACAGGGAGGTTGGTGTGTTACCCAGAGTGGGTTAAACATGTGCTAGAAGCAAGGAAAGGCCTGCGCCAGAAATGCTGTAAAGCCCATGTGCTTGATGTGTGTATAATGTCACCCACATGTGTCCCATTGAACGCCTGCAGAAATGCCGAGAGGATCAGAGTCAAATTCTTTACGCACAGATTGTCACTGTGTTATCTGTTCACCTTTGCTATGTCAGGGCTTTTTGTATGCTTCTGGAGTCTCTATTGGAGACTTCTTTGATCAAACAAGTGATGAGAAGCAGTGCTGCTCAGCGTGACTTACTGCACGCTGGCACTTTGGTAGTTGACTGCTTGACTGTTGCAGTTTCAAAGATGAGAATTAAACAGATCATGACTACTCACCTTGGATAAGTGGATTGCTCCCTTCTGTGTGCTTCTCAAATAGACGGGGTTATGATTAATTTGAGTTGTTGTAAACATCATTACCGAAGATGAGGATTGCAGAGCAAAAGGAAAACATGTAGCCTGACTACATGGGAATCTGTTTTTGTAATAAAAGCTGGTGTTTTGTGTATCACTTCTTATATCTGACAGGATTTTGCTTATTTTTTAATTTTTTTTTTAATTATTTTTTATTTTTATCATGATACAGCTGTCAGCAGATTTACAAACCTCATCCTGTCTCCAGGGGTAGACAGTCAAAATCAGGCCAATGTCAGCAGCATCCTCACAAGTGAGGAAGAGCCAAGTGCTGGGAAGCGAGAACGAGCAGGTTTGCAGAATGCTGGAAGCAGCTGTGCGGCGGAGAGAGCAACACTGCCGCCTGATGCCGCGAGCAGAGACGTGCACAGAGGTACCACGAAAGGCAGCCGCGAGGAGGACTGCGCTGCCATCCCTGTCACCGACATCGACGACTTGCTCAGCCAGATGGGCGCCCCCGAGAGCAGGGCCTCGCGCACCCCGTCGCGCGCAGAGAGCCCCCTCCGAGATGAGTACACCACAATGTGCTGCTGCGGCACCGATGAAGGCTGCCCCGGGTCCGAGCCGCGAGTGACCAAGGAGGAGCCGCTGGAAAAAACTGTGAATTGCGGAGCGAGCGCACAAGGGGTCTTGGGGCTGTCTGTGTTGGACTCCATTAACACAGGCAAACTTTTTACTGTGAATAAAAACTCTTTGAATAACTATTCTAGGAATTTTAGCAGTTTAAATGAGGACGAGTTGCCTGCAGCAAACTCTCTGGAAGGTAAGAGGAGTGACCCATTTCCGAAGTCTATGTATGGGGCTGCGGAGGATTCTCACTCAGACGCAGAGTCTGTCACGGAAACCTTTGATGGTGCTAGCGAGGTGTTGCTTGGGCAGTGTGCTGCTGCAAGTGTCCCTGCAGCTTGCACTGTAGTGGAGTCAGATGAGGAGCAAATTGAGATTTGCTGCACGAACGATGAGCTGCTAAAGCCCACGCAGGAGCAGCATCCCACACCTGGAACAAACTCATCCTTACTGTCCCCACTACACCCTTACGGCAGCAAAGTTTTGCAGACTGAGGGCTGTGCAATGTGCGGATCACTGGAGACAAGCATCAACAAATTAGGTTTGGAAGATCATAGTGGTCCCACTCCATGCCCCTCACAGTGTTCGGAAGTGTCCTCTGCGTCCTTGTGTTCTCCTTCCTCAGTTTTCCTGCCAGAAAAAGACATCCTAAAGAATTCAGCCAATATCCCTGAAGTTTACTCTTTCTGTAACAATGGTGCCTTACGTACAGAAGAACAGATGGATTTGAGGAAGAGTAATGGACATATGAAATGCTGTGAATCCACTGAAGAGGAAGGATCTCTGCACTGCAAAAAGATAAGCTTTTGCTCTGCTAGAAATGTCAGCATCTTGGAGAACAGCTTGCTTGAGAAAGATGGATATCATGATGAGCAGAGATCCAAATCCGAAAGCGAAGCAGTGGTTGATGACTGTAATCATGCTGTTAGTTATTGCCTGGCGAAGAAAGAAACCAGCAGTTTGTCCAACTTGTCTAAAACAGACAGCAATCATATGAATGCATCGTCAACAAGAGGAATATCACTCAGGTCACCGTTTCCCACTAGATCTAAAGATCCAAAGGCTAATGCAACTCATGACTTGCCAGGGAAAATTGAGAAAAATAACTCTGTGACTTCAGGAAGGACTTCAAATGGAAAAGTCCAAAGCTCAGGCACAAATCACTGCAAAGGAGCTGCAGTACCGCACAGCCCATCCTCACAGAAAAAGTCCTGTCAGGAGTCTAAGGCAATGGCACAAAAAAGTATAATGGACACCCTTTTAAATAATCAGAAGGCCAAAGCAGGACCAAAGCTAAAAGGGTTCACCATCAAAAGCAAAACAAAGACAAATTCAGATTCTTCTGGTCTTAATCCTACCAAAGTGAATGGGGCTGATCAGAAAAGGGCTTCTGTTTCTCCACAGCTGTCTCCCAAACTCCTGGGAAAGAAAACACCATTGTCCCGTAATTCACCTACAAATCCAGATCCTGGCAGGAACATTTCAGCAGCCTCAAGGACTCTGAAATCAGAGCTGGAAAATAAACCATCTCTGGGCATTTCTGAAGATTCGCTTTTGCCTCTCCTGAATGGCAGTGGCAGCCCAACAGCAAGTGGTGAAATGAAGTGTGGCTGTGGGGAGTTAACATGGGGAAAGCCAAAAGAAAAGCAGGTTTCCCCTGTGGCATGTCAGGGTAGGAGTGCTAAGGCAGATGATTTCAGAGCCAGAGACAATCAGTCCAAAGTCACTTCACCTCCTCAGGGGATATCAAAAGTTGAATATGGGAAAGGGAGGACTGATAACCCTGAAACAGGCCTGAACCCAATCAAGATCATTTATAGTGCAGATGACCTTAGGCAATTAGATCTGCAAAATGTAGGACCATCTGCTGGAGGCTGTTCTTCTTCATTGAGGTCCCCCCCAGTTCAGCAGGAGCAGCTGGAAGGGCAAGAAATCCAGCGCACTTTCATTGAGGTGAAGCTTTCCTCCTCACCATCCCCTTCTTCCTCCTCATCTGCCTCTTCCTCACCAGCATCATTTTTGCAGCTGCCATTGCTAGAGAAAACAGAAGAGGTGAACACAGGAGTACCTCGGCTCACTGAGGAGGCAGGGACCGTGCAGTATTTCTCAAAAGCAGATGGTGCTGGAGACAAACATCTCTGTGGCTTGTCTAAACCTGTGACAAGGACCTACTCAATGCCAGCCCAGTTATCGGGTCACTTGAAGGAAGACTGCCATGTTACAGAGGTTCATGCTGTGCAAGGCCCCCACGGCCATGCTGCAGAGGAGAAATACCCCCAGCGGATGTTAAAGGTAGTTCACTTGAATCTGCCAAACAGCCAGAACGGAAAGGAGCAGGCATACACCTCCAAAAGTGCCCAGAAGGTCCATGACACGTCCCCCTCAGTGAGTGACATCAGCTACCCCACTGCCGATAAGCTGAGGAGCTTCAAGAGGAATTACTACTACTATGAGCTGAACTGGCCACATGACCCTATTTCATCCTTCTCTGTCAAACAGAGGATCAAATCCTTTGAAAACCTGGCAAATTTTGACCGGCCCATGGTGAAGGCCATCGATATATGCTCATCTGCAAGGTTGCCCCTTGCCAGGAGGTCGTGTGGTGGGTTGGCCACACCATCCAGCACTGCTGAGACTCCATGGACGCTGCGGCGCAGCTTGAGTTCCTATGGTGGCAGCCCCAGCCCAGCCAGCGCCACGGCCAAGTCTCCCCCCAGCACAGAGCCTGTGCGTGTGGCTGAGGGTGGCGAAGGGGACCGAAAGCCCCAGAGGAGTGAAGAGGGTGGTGCCGGGCCAGACGTGGCCGCCTTCCCTGCCTCGGCCTTGCAGGTGCGCCGCAGCCGGGGCCTGGGGCGGCCGCTGCTGTCCCGCTCCAGGCTGCGGGAGCTGAGAGCCCTCAGTATGCCCGACCTAGACAAGCTGTGCGGAGAGGGGTTCTCAGGTCCGCCACAGCCTGCTTGCTTCAAAACGGAGCTGGAAATCACGCCCCGCAGAGCCCTTGGCACGCCTGGCCAGAACGGGGCAGCTCCGCCAGCCCACTGCGGACCTGCAGAGACGGCTGGATTGGGAAGGGGTACCTGCAGCCCCCGAGACAGTGGGTCGGGAACTCCAGGTTCTGCCTCGGATGATGACGTTCCCCATAGCAGCTCTCTGGATGGGGAAAACAGCTGGTCCATCAGGTTGGTGTCAGTTTGCTACCACTGTTTAATTTTCATCCCCACAAGCCCTTCCCGAGGCAGAGCTTCCACTTTGTCCCAGGTCTGGCCCAAAGCACATCTCAGCTGTGGCCCCAGCCCTCTGTCCCCTCTCAATTCGGGGTGTCATTCATGCTCTTGATGCCTTGGAACTGCCATGCTGCTATGGTTGGCAGCTGTGCTCCAGTACAGGATGAAACATTTTATCCTGGCTTAGATATGCTCCTTTTCCTTATCCCCTCTAGCTGGTGCTGGTCAGTTTTTGGCCCCATTACAGAACAGCAGCGGTGGTGGAGGGGAGGCTGCACACACTGGCTGCTGGCACAGCCTGCGGTGACATACAAGGTTATTGTCCTGCCAGAAGCAGTCTTCAGATGTAGCTCTCTTTTTGTTAGTGTCTGTTGCTGAAACCACTGGGGAAGGATGAAGGGAACAAAACAGGGACTGTTTCAGAGTTTTTCTCAAATAGTCTTCTCTGCCCCTTCCCATTCTCCCAGTTCTTCCATTTCTCAACGGTTTTCAAGATTTCTGCTTTATCATTTATCCTTATGCAACCTACACTGTATACCTGAAATGTATCTCTATACAGTTGAGAAATATAAAGCTCTTTTATCTTTTTATGTAATTTTAGCTTGGATCAGCTGCTTGTCTCAAGCCTGGACCAGCAAAAACTGCAATCTGTTTTGTCAGCAATAGTACCAAAATGTGATGTTGCTGCTGTGCTCCAAGAAGTCAAAGCACAAGTAAAGGTAAAAACAAAAAGATAAAACTAGGTTATTGGCAGATTTTTAAGGGGTTTCTTCATGGCAGATAAAATCTTTTCCAAACAGTTTCAGAGCTCCTCCAGTAGTCCTATGGTATCTTACTACTATCAACTGCAGCTGATGTTAGCTTTACTAATGCTGGTTTTTGAGTGCCTGCTATAAACCCATAATAATTTTGAATGGCTTTTTATATAAGAAAGTTCAAAAGCAGTTTCAAGTCACAATAAATAGACCTGTTTTAAGTGGAGAAGTATGCCTGCATCTTGGTTTGTCAGTAGCTGCACATCAGAATTTAACTTTCCACCAGCCATCTGGGTTAAACTCAGTTACCCCGCTGTGCAAGGGAAGCTCTGCTCCTCTCTGTGCCTAGAAGCACCAGCCTTTTGTTAGAAGCTGCAGTCTCAGAAATTGAACTTATTTTGTTTAATGCTGAATTCATGGCTTGCAACACTGGAAAGTGGCTGCTAGTGGGTTTGTAAGAGACACCTGTGACCTTCTTGTTCTCTTTGTGGAAACTGGCTATCACATCAAGATAACCTGCTTCATTATCTAGGTTTTTAAAGAAGGCCTCCAAAGTGAATTGATGGCCAGAACATTGCTTCCCTGTTTTCAGTGTTTCTGTTTGTGGGATACATCCACATCCTTTTTAAATCACAACAGAAGTTGATAAAATAATGACAGCACTGGAAGGGAAACTGCCATCTGGTCTGCATAACTGCTGGCTGAGCTGCGTCTAGAGCGTTCTTACGCCTTATTCTCAAAGATTGCTATTTCAAACGTAGAACAGGCTTGGGGGAAAAGGACCTCCCCAAAATATCCAGTTTTATCTCCTTCCAGGGGACAGCATAGCTGAAGCATGCAAGTCTCAAAAGCCTGGTGAGCCAAGAGAGTTTACTAGGTTTACTGATAAAATTAGTATTGGATTGTGCAACTGGCCTGAGGTAATTAGGTGTTCTTTAAACTATTTTGCGTGGGGTCTTGGAGAGATTATTTATTTATGCCACTTTTCAAAGCCTGAGAACTCAAATATTTATAAAGCTGAATGCTTTTTGGAATGCAGTCTTTGTCTGCATAGTTTCTTATCCATATTTAAGCCTAGTATGGCACATAGGCTGGAAAATTTTATGCTATTCAAATCATGGATGTTGAATGTACAATAGAACAGTTCTTCAAAGTTGTGCAGTTGCTGAAAAATGAGATGGACTGCCTGATTTGGACTGAGAGCATCCCTGGGAAGAGATTGTCATCATCTTTTGCTCTGAACAGTGCTGAATTTATTGTTAATACTTAATAAATGCTACTGCTAACAAAAAAAAAAAAAAAAAAAAGGAAGGCATTCTATTTATGTCTCTGTGACTAGTATCTTTGGCCACCATTCTAAACAGAGGTGGTCACTGGAGGCCTGGTTTTGCCCACTGTGTGTCCAAGTAAAGAAGTGAGCACCCACAGCCAGGTCTCTGTGCCTAATTGTGCTGCCGAGGGGCAGCTTTGAGTGCTGGAGAGGGAGGGAATACACAACCTTGGCAATAGGAACCCAGCATCCAGACTGTCATGTTGACTGGCCCAGGACATGTGGTCTATGGATAACGTGGATAACTCCTTTAACACCTGAATCTCTGACTTTCTTTTTTTTTTTTTTTTCCTTCCCAAGTGTAAGCAAATTAAATTGAGGTATCAAGGGTTGGAAAGAACCTGACCCCTTGAATGAAAGGAGTTGCTATAGTACTTAAGAGTTAAAGATATGTGTATGTTTCCATTGCCTCACTGCACTTGGAAAGTGGCTAGCCTAGATACTTAACTGATTTTAATATTTCTAGCTTGACATAAAGCTGCTGTCACATGAGCATAGGTGAGAAGGGTCTTAGCATCTACAAAACCCTGTGGACAAAGATGTTCAGCCCTGACTGCTCTTCTCTTCCCGAGTGCTGATGGATCAGTGATGTAGAGCAGGTGGCAACAGTTTCTGACATTAGCTCTGTATATTGCAGGGGTGCCTCTACTGCAGGAAATCTTCTACAGATACTGTTTGGCAAAAAACATACAGTTAGAGCAAGAATTTGACTTCCTAGTAATCTGTGGTTCCCTGTGCCTTTTGAAACAAAATTAAAAGACAAGTGCTGAGTTAATGTGTTTAGTGGTCTAAATATGGCATTTAATGCTAAATAGATTAAGAGGTTGGTTTCTAATGATTTGCCATTAATTTTAGTGTTGGCAGTTTCTGGAAATTACTAATGTTGGATGGGATCCTGGGGAAAAGCTGAGAAACCTACTTTCTGCTCCCTGTGTCTGATGCTCTGTGCACAGGTGGTCACTATCATTTTGCTCCCAAATTCCTTCTTATAGTTACCACCGCACCACAAAATGTGGTCTCTGTGACACAGTGCCAGACTTGCTGGATGGGACTGCTTTTCTCTTATGCCAAATTCAGGTGCTGTTGACTCTATAAAAGGCAGAAAGACCCTGACAATTAAAGGGCTGGGCAATCACCAAATATGAATTTTACAGAAGACAGGTGCCAGATTCTGCACCTGGGATGGGGCAACACTGGCTGTGCAGGCAGACTGGGGAATGACATGCTGGAAAGCAGTGCTGCAGAAAGGGACCTGGGGGTCCTGTTCGATGGCAGTGACAATCAATTCAGTGCTGAATATGAGTCAGCAGTGCCCTGGCAGCCAGGAGGGCCAACTGTGTTCTGGGGGGCATCAGGCCCAGCATCGCCAGCCGGTCGAGGAAGGGGATTGTCCGGCTCTGCTCTGCACTGGGACAACCTCACCTGGGATATTGTGGCAGTTTGGGGAACCACAATATAGGAGGGATATTAATGGTCTTAGAGAGCATCCAGAAGAGAGCAATGCAGATGGTGAAGAGCCTTAAGGGGAAGCCTTATGAGGAGCAGCTGAGGTCCCTTGGTCTATT